GTTCGAAAGGCTGTCGAACGATTATCTCGATTCGACGCTTAATTTTCAGAGCCACGAAGATCGATTATTCTAGGTTGGCGGTAGCGTGGCGGTCCTCTCAAAATCGCCAACAATCGAGGACAATCCAACAGTATTATCTATGGTAACAATCGGAAATACCCTGAACCGATGAGAGGGAGTTCGATTGTTGTCCACGCGGACGGAAAGCGGCTCGCCCGTGCCGAACGAATTTCATGGCAATTATTGTTTCGCGGCTGCTTACTGACTACCGTGTTTTCCTCTATGGTGTGCCATTCTCCATAGGAAAATAGGTTTCATTTAGGTTCCATTGTACGCGTTGTTTATTCGATCAGAAATCCTTAGAAGCCACGTCTTTTCGTTATCTATTTGGTCTTCAGAGATAATATATTAGGTTGTCGGAAAAGTGTCTTTCTTTCACAGACACGTGTTTTACAACGATGTATCTTTATACAAACATGAAACCTAATCTGCCAAACGTCGTGATCTTTATCTTGATAGAACAAAATGGATCATACGTAATTCGATAAAATAATATAAAACGACAAATGTGCATCCATTATTTCCTTATAAAACGAAAGAAACTTTTCGGGCGACCTAATACATATTAATCTTGATCAGAAATTCATTGAATTTGTTGATAAATTTATTGAAAAATCAAAACACAGTATCGTGTAAAAGTTATTAGCTTTTGGAAATAGTTGGTCGAATGTTTCAACTAGAAATAAATGAACATTAAAAATTGAATACAAAATAATTATTTGACAGTATTTTCGAAACATCTTTTCGTTAATCGATATCGTTTGAGACAAACGTTATTTTTTCGATTTATTGCTTTCCGACAAATAAACGTAAAATTAAAACATCAAATACCTCCCTATTCATCGATAAAAGTCAAACATTTGCGTTTGATAGACGATTGAAGACTTTTGCACGGTACTGTAACTTAGATGTTTGATAAGTTAATCAAATTATTATTCAACGATAATTTTGTATAGGTCGTGCAAGCGGCATTGGACAAGGCCATGGAGGGCAGGACGTGCATCACCATAGCGCATCGTTTGGCAACTATAAGAAACGCCGATGTGATCTGCGTGTTAGAGAAGGGAACTGTCGCGGAGATGGGTACTCACGACGATTTACTTTCAGCGGATGGCCTGTACTCTCATCTGCATAATCTTCAAGAAAGCGCGATAGAGTAGAGACGAAGGTGAAGTCGCGTCTCATCGACGCTCCTTGCTTCGGAGGCGAAACAGCCCAACGACGAAGCAGACAGTAGTTTCAGTCGAGGCGTGTGAGGCCTGTAGGTCAGAAGTTAGCAGTAAGAAATGGAGGAACTCCAGCAAGGCAACAAGAATAGCAAAGATTTTATTGACTCGCCGGACGAAAGTCCACGGACACGCGTATCGGAGCTTTCGTAAATTTTCACATCTGCAAACGCTTCTTTTATCTTCTCAGCTGGCCCTTAACTTTGTCATAGACTTTCAACGATAGTTTTCTTACAATTTTATTTATACGTATTTTCAATTTCTTCGTGTGCCTCGATATTGCTAAGAATCAATTTTACATGGCAAATAAAAGGAACTCGAAGGAAGAGGATGTTCGTAGCTAACTCTGAATATCATTAGCTGTCTCGTCGATATTTTGTTCGTGCATTAGACGTCGAAACACCCGCGTTTTCACGGTGCTTGCTCTTCTACATGCCGGTTCTCGCGCCCAACCTAAAAGAGAACGAGCCACGGATCCAAGAAACGCGAAACTTCGATACAGGGAACAGATCTTCGCGTCGCAGCAGCGAATAATCGTAGCGCAAACGCGTCGGATGGATTACCAGCGATCTTTCGATTCGCGCGTTACGTAACAACGATCACCACGGCGCGAACGATAAAACGCGTCGCTGTCGATAACACGTAATCGACATTACGCCTGTATTTTCCAAAACGATATTCCCGTTCCTTCGTCTTCGTTCTTTTTACATAGCCTTTACGACGCGAAGCTCGCGAGATCGCAGTAACGCAATAGTCCTCGATCCATTCGAACGGAGAAGATTCCGTAGAATGGCACGTAGTCGCGATCAGATTCGATGCATGGCCTCGAACGATCCCCTGAACGATTCGTTGTTGGCCAGGAATACCAAACTAGCCATCCGAAAGAAACCGTGAAGGCGTTTGTTGAATTCCTATATAGGATAGCAGTATAAATACGATAGAAATGGAAGAAACGCGCGAGCCAGACGCGTGCATTGAATTAAGGAGAAAGTGGGATAGAGAGGAAGATATTCGCATCGACTTATGGGGTTGATCAACATCGACAGAGACGAGCAAGAGGCGACAGGTGTTTCGAAAAACGGCACATCGCGCACGACTCGACGATGTCCTCCTCCACTTCGATAATCTTCGGGCTACGTCCAAACGTATGAAAAATGTATGAACGTATCGTCTCGATACATCCCGCTCTTTTCTCTGCCTTGCTCGCAAAACACGAATTCGTCCACGGGACAACGTGTCAATTGCGTCAATCGGGCGAACGTTACTAGAAATCGTTGAATTTTCGTGCCTTAACAGCAACCGTGTTTCGTGTTCAACTAAAAGAAGAAAAAAAAAAAGAAAAAAGAAAAAAAAACGCGATAGTAAGAAATAGAGAACGCGATGGGAAGAGGAGGAAACAGAGAACTGGGAGGGCTTAGGTTAAATTTAAATCAGGAATAAGAAGACGAGCAAAGTCGTGACAGACGGATAGCTAGTTGAGTTTTGAAATGGCTCGGATCGATTCACCGATTCGTAAGGAATCAAAAGGATGTACTACGTGAAATCTTTGTAAAGTTGGGTGGTTTTAGCGGAGAAGGAGCGTATCGTTCGCGTGGAGAGGCGTTCCCCGGATGTCGGCAAGTCGTCCATCCGGTGCGGTGGTTGGATTTCCGTGGTCGAACTTCGCGACAGATACTTTCCTTGAACTTGTGCCTTCATACTTGGTATACTTAGCGATAAGGTTCCATCGGCTGCCCTCGAGGCTTACCACCTGAATGGTCACGTTTAACACGCGGCGCGACGATAACAATTTTTCGTAGAACTTGACAGTATCAACTTTTTCCACCTGTCTAAAATGTTAATAATAATCATTGTCAAATTTTATCTCTCTATTACGAAGTAAAGTATCTTCCAACTTCGGCTAAATATTAATATTTAGGAGTAAGACTTGAAACGCGTTCTCGCGCCTGCGTGATCGTACGAGGATTTTCAACGACGTTGTCCACGCAGAGTACTTAATTTATCTCGAAAGAAGCGATCGAAAGAAGGCCTACGATCAAAATTTACATCCGATGATCGAAGTAACAGTGCTTTATTAACATAGTGACAATACAACGTAGTAAATGTAGAACGTGTTCGAGCCAGGAACAAGCGTTTCGCGATCGAAACGCCATTCTGATGTTTGCGAATCAAGCATACAACGATCACCGGGATCCGTGTACGATCGGAAGAACCCGACGATGTTGTGCTTCACTCGTGTACTTACCCTGTATGTTAAGCGGATCGAAAGGGAGAACGAACAAGTACAATCAGATCAGCGCATTGAATGACGTATGATGATCATTTCACATCGTTTCGACGGACATTTCGTTTAATGAAATTCACGGTTCTAGATGTCCTTTCTCGTTTGAATCGCGATCATGGTGCTCGATTCGTTGAACAAATCATCTCAGACTTATTGTACCGATCAAAATTCAGCTTACGGTTTATTATGTACTTTTCAAAGAGAATATATTATTATATTATACAGATATATATATTACGTAAGAATTCGATCGAGCACTAGACGGCAGAATGAATATGAAAGTGAGTGAGTGAGTGAGTGAGTGAGTGTGTGTGAGAGAGAGAGAAATAGATAGATAGATAGATAGAGAGAGAGAGAAAGAGGGATAACCTTTAGTGTGTAAAAGATATCGAAAAATTGTTGCTTAAGATTAAGGCTGCGGCCAGCGTAACTTAAGGGCAGAGATCTTAAAACAAAAATATGTACGTGAACTAGCGACGATCGCTTGGTTCAACACGCGTGTGTTTTGAAACGACGAAAGAAAGCAGCAGCGTGTGTTTCATTTTATTTTCTCTCTTTCGTTTTTTGTTCTTCGTCTCCTTTCCTTTTTTTTCTTGTTGTTTATATATCGAAAGCGTGTCGAGTTGTAATTATACAAGCGATTTTCCAGACAGTATGACGACAAAGAGGAAGTATTAATGTTTTTCGTCTTTTTTTTTCTCGTTATAAGAAGAAACGAAGCAGATCGTACTGCTGTCATATACAAAATAAATGGAACCATAGTGAAAAAAAAGTACGCACGAGTTTGTTAAATGAACGGGCGGCGAGGGGAATTCAGTTTTCGGTGGGAGCGGTCACCGAAAAAAATCGTGAAATTCGTTCCGTTTCATCCATTTTGTCCCCCATTTATAATCTATATCCCTCGGCGACGCATTTATTCGCGCCGCGGAACTTGCGTCTATCCGCTGTAGCTTTTAACGTTTATCATCAGGTTTATCACCTGCTGTTTGTTCGCGCGAAAATTAAAAGACGCGCGTGTTTTCGATACGCTGTGAAAAATCAGCGCGTCCGATTGGTATTTCCAACAAATCCACTTTCCTCGTTATCTGTGCGATCCATATTCTCCATTTTCCTTCTATTTGTAAAATTTTTCTTCCAACGACCAACGTTCTCTTTTTTTTTTTTTTTGTACCGTGGCATAAAATGTACGCGGCTCGTCGAACGGGAGAACGCGTGGCCCGAGAATTTTGATTTTTGTCTCGAGTCTTCGTTCGAACGACGCGTCCTAACACCAGCAACTTGATCGAAGGACGTTAAAATGGTGTTAAACGAACGCGTTTTGAGGAACACGAACGAACGTGAAGTTGGACCAACGCTCTACCCCATTTGCTTTGGCAAAGTTCGCGATGTACGGTAG